CGTATTGTGCCTTTCTTGACAGTAGAAGCATCTGATAGGTCTTCTACAATTCCCCATGTGCTCTGGCTTAATGCAAAAAATACATCTTTTTATCTCTATTAATTTTTGCCGTCGATCCTTCGCGGTGCTAGTTTGTCTGCATTCATCCCCCCAATGTCCCTTTTTTCCACAAAATATACAAGGGTATATTGGGGCTCTCCTCCCGCCTTCAGGCTTATTTTGGTTTTGGTGGTTGTTGTTTTTATTAAATTTTGCGCGTGTATTAAAGTTTTTATTTTTTGCTTCAGTATTTGCGAATGTTCGTGTTACTTCCTTTTCATTATTTCTTCTTACATTTTGGAAGTTTCTTTGGCTTTTTAGGGTATTTTGCTCAACTTTTTCGTTTGATTTTGCGTGAATGGAGAGGACAAGTTCCTCTTTCTCTATTACTTCACGCAAAGCTTTTCTGAAAGCTGCGGTGTCCCATAAAGCTTCATTACTTTTAACAATCGCCTTCTTTGACTGAATTTCGCGCAGAATTGGAATTGTGAGCTTTTTTTCTAAGCTCATCCAAATTCCTTGGCCTGAGATGTTTTGGTCGTTATTTTCCAAAAGGCGGCATATCCTTTCAACATCTAACGAGAATTTCTTACAATCTTGAAAATTTTGACAAATTTTCAAACTCTCTAGTTGTGTATGTAAATGCCGTATATATTCTTCCTCATTTCCATATCTTTGTTTGAGTAAATCGATGGCTACTTCATAATCACTTAATTTTAATCCCTCTATAAGTGATTTTGCTTCTCCCAGTACACATTGTTTGAGAACCGCGTGTTTTACTTCTTCACTTCCGTCGGTCTCGTGTACTGTAGCGTTGAAGATTTGCCACCACTCGGGCCAGTCTATCTGCCTACCCGAGAATTTTCCAATTTCTTGCCTCGGTGGCTTAAAACTAAATCCAAGAGCTTGTTGTACTTGTGTTGTAGAATTAATTATCGATTTCTCTTTTCTTTCTTCCTTTCTTTTTTCAGTTTTTAACTTCCTTTCTAAATCTTTTAGACTTCTTAATTTTATTTCCGCTTCATTTAGACGCTCTTCGATATTATAGTCTTCTGCTACTTCTTCATATGCTTTTTCAAGCGTTTGTTTTTCTGCTTGCGACCCTCTTTGAATTAGCGAAATCCATTTCGCGTTTGCTTCTTTTAAATCGTTGTAGGCCTCCGCTAATTCTTCAATTTCTATATTTAGCTGGTCGAGTGTTTCACAAACATCAAGGAAGAATTCTGAATTTTGTTCAGAATCTTCAGGTTCTTTTGGAACCTCTCGCTCAAGTAGCGTTTGTACCGTTTCCGAAGCTCTTTTTGTGAAAAGCTTCAGCGGCTTACTCATTTTTATTTATTTTAAATTTCTTTTAATTCTTCAAAATAAATTTAAACAAAAATTTTATTTTATTTTTTTTTTTTTTTTTGAAAGGACACTAAACTACCTTTTTGTTGTTGCTCAATCAATCCACTAATTATTTTAAGGAGAATTTTAGTATTTTTGTTGTTTCCAAATAAATTTGCAGGTCGTTATTATTTTTTCTGTTGTCAGTGCTCGCCACTTGTTCCAATAACAATTTTTTGGAACGAGAAATTTCTTCTTTTGAAATTTCTATTATTCGATTAATTTTCTTCCAACCTTTTTCCAAACAATTTTTATTCAAAAAATAATTTATTTATTAAAGCCAATTTTTATTATAAAAAATAGAAGAATCAATTTAGAAAAAGGAAAAATCTTTTTAGAAAAAAGTGATTGGTAAAAAGAACGCCTATGAGCGCCGATTACTACATTTTATATGTGAACGAAGGTCAAAAGTATTTAGAGAAAAGAGAGGGAAATTTTAGTGTAACAAATATATTATTGTGGAAATCTTAAGGGAACGGCAATAATTAATGGAAGAATAATAAAAAAAAGAAATAAAATCTTAAACTTGGGAATTTTATGATTAATGGACTTTTTTAATATTTTTAGATTTTATCTCTTTTTACTTCCGTTTCATCGTTTTTTCGTCTTGTGACCTTCTTTCGAACTGAGGCTGCCAAAGTCGAAACAAAAAAATAATTTAAGAACTCAACTACTTCAAAATTGTCTCCTCCATTTATTAAAAATTTAAATAAATCATCTTTAGATTTCTCTATAATTTCTTTAGATAAAGGAAAATAAATATAAAGAGTTTCGCTAATTAAATTATTTAAAGTAAATTTAAATATATTTTCAATATTGTAGTCGTTAATAAATAGTTCGCATTCTCGAAAATAAATTTGTTTAGGAACTCTTCCAAAAATAATTATGTTTATTTATTTATTTATTTATTTATTTATTTATTTATTTATGAGCAACCACACGGTATAAAAATACACTAATAGTGGTGAAATTTAAAAGACAAATATATGTAAAAAGGACAAATATATGTAAAAAAAAGACAAATATATGTAAAAAAATTAATTTAATGAGAATTATGTATTTGGTGTGTTTGGTGAAATAATTGTTTTGGTATACATTTTGTTAAAAAAAAATTTGTTTTACCTCACCAAACATTTAATAAATAGATTAAAACTTAAGGAAAAATGTTTCCGTTATCTGATATCCATTTTCTAATATATTTCCTGAATGGCTTTTTATGCATTATACCCATAATTTCATTAGGTAGTTTATTCCAGTTTGTTATATTTCTTATAAAAAAGTTATTTCTGGATTTCGAATTGTATCTTTGGTTTTGAAGGAGAAGGGGTTTTCTCTTTGCTTTTTTTGCAAATGCGAAGAAGTTTTCAGGTTTTAAGTGTGTATTCTGATACAGGATTTTTTGAGTCATACAAAGATCATTAATTTGTCTTCGTATGTCTAATTTCTCTAAGTTACATATTTTTAATCTTTCTTCATATTTTATTTTAATAAATCCAGATTTTTTAAATGCAATTCTTGTAAAGTATTTTTGAATTTTTTCAATCCTTTCGCAATTATCTTTTTTCATAGGATTCCATACTTCACTTGCATATTCTAGTTGGGGTCGAATATATGTTTTGTAGATATTAATGTATTGTTCTAGTTTTCTAGTTCTTATAACTTTAAAAAGCCTATATATACTAAAGTAAGCTCTTTTGATAATTACATTAATATGATCGGAAAATGAAAGTTTGGAATCTATTAGGATACCCAAATCTCTAACTGTTTGTAGTTTAGGAATTAGGTTGCCAGATATATGGTATTTTTCTTGTGTGTTATTTTTTCCAATGTAGAGTACAGAGCATTTATTTTCTGCGATTTCTAAACCGTTAATTTTAGCCCACTTATTAAGTAATATTAGTGATTCTTTTAGTATTTCCCGTCTATTGTCATTTTGATGATATGTATATAATTTTACATCATCTGCATATATTTTAATTTTTAAATCATGAGGAAGATAGTTTGGAAGGTCATTTATGAAGATAAGAAATAATAAAGGACCTAATACACTTCCTTGTGGTACGCCTGATTTTGTTTGTACGCTTTCAGAGAATTCTTTTTCTATTTTAACTTTAAAACTTCTTTTTGTTAGAAAGTTTTCTATGAAATCATATAATTTTCCATTAATTCCACAAGCTTTTATTTTGAGGCATAAGAGCTCAATAGGAACAGAGTCAAATGCTTTAGCAAAATCAATGTAAATAATATCGATATTTTCTCTTTTTTCCAATGACTTATAAAAATCATTTAACATTGATAAAAGATTTGTTGTAGTTGATCTATATTGTAAGAACCCAAATTGTTCATCAGAGAAGAATTTAGTTTTATTTAGAAAATTTATGATTTGTGTTGAGATAATTCTTTCGAATACGCGGCAAAGTGTGCATGTAACAGAAATAGGTCTATAATTAGCAGGGTCATTTATTTCACCCTTTTTAAATATAGGAATGATGTAGGATTGTCTCCAGATTTCTGGGATTGTCCTATTATCTAATATGATTCTGAATATTTCTGTTATGGTCGGAGAAAGTATTTTCGAACATGATTTCAATAATATATAAGGAATATCATCAGGTGAATTAGAGATTTTATTTGGAAGATTTTCTAGGATATTTTCAACTGTGAGAATATCGAATTCAATATCTTCTAGACGTTCTCTTGTAGTTTGTCTAGGTGTAAAGTTTTTGTCAAATTCTTTGAGTTGGAAATACTTACTAAATGTGTTAGCAAGTAATTTACATTTATCTTTTATATTTATATGTAATTTGTTATCTTCACTTATTAAATTTGGTATTTTGTCATTTGGATTGAATTTTTGCCGAATAAATTTATGAATGGCATTACCTCCTTTATTTATCGTTTTACTTATCTTTTCTTCGTTATATGATTCTATATTCTTTTTGAGTTCTTTAGAGATAAATCGATATTGAAGTTTTAAATTATTATTTTTAGGATTTGTTCTTAAGTTTTGATGTATAGCAAGTTTTCTTGCTTGTAAATTTTTAATCTTTTTAGGATAACTGTTCTTAATAATTAAATTTAATGTCTGTAAAGGGATAGCGTTATTAAGGGCAGATACTAAATTTTGTGTTATGTTATTATACTTATCATTAGTGGTGAATTTTGTCTCGAGTAAGTATTTCCAATTTATAGATGATATGTATTTTCTAAGATTTTCTGTGTTTTTATGGCTAAAACTTCTTATATATTTTTTACTTTTGGATTCTCTATGGAATTTAACGTTTAAAATGAATGAGATCATATTATGATCAGATGTTGAGAAAGGAGCAGAAATATTATAGTTTTCAATAAGATTTTTAGGATTTGTGAAAAGTAAATCGAGTATTGAATTATCTCTTGTATTTTCTTTTATATGTTGGTAAACTTCATTTTGAGAACAGAAATCAATAAGTAACTGTCCTAGATCATTATTTGAATCCATAGTATCCCAGTTAATTTTAGGAATGTTAAAATCCCCATAGATTAAAGCATTAGAATTTAATTTAGATGAGATATATTTCATTAGTTTCTTGGTTTCATCATATGAACATTTTGGTGGTCGGTATACACAAAAAATTTCAATACCCCTTTGTATAAGTAATTTTAAATGTATAATTTCGCATTTAAATTTTGTGCCTGTAAATTTTAATTTGTATGGAATTTCGGAGGGAATGAGTATTAGGCAGCCGCCCCCAAGACCTTGTTTTCTGTTAGCAAATATTGGGTTAAACTGTCCTTTAAGTGAAAATTCTGAATGTATAATGTTATTTTCTTTAAGCCAGGTTTCGTTTATTAGTATTATTTTATTTTTGTTATTTTCCAAGAGTTCCTGGAGTTCGAAGGTTTTATTATTTATAGATCGTGCATTAAAAGCCAAACAGGATAATATATTAGAGTTTAAAGTTGTTTTTAAATTACCAGTATGGTTACTCGAATTACCCTATGCGGAAACATTTTTTACCTTAAGAGGTTTTGGTTGTGACATTTTACGAATTTCTAAATCAACAACAAAGTATTTAAATAAGTTTTCACGAACATTAAGGTCATAAGCTTGTTTACGAAGGTTATAAAGAATATTTAATTCATATTGGGTCATATCGCGTCTGGCTGTTATATTTTTAGGAACATTAGGAAGAGATTTGACACATTTACGAAATGAGTATAAAAAAGTATCACGAGATTTTGTATCAGTAAAGGGTATTTTTAGAATATGCGGTTTACTGCTTTTGTTATTTTTATGTGGTGGATGTCTATGGATACCAGCAAAATCAACTTTATCTTCAAGTCCACATTCTTTTACTAAACTTCTAACCATACCTTCATCATTTACTTCGGGCAATTTTTCAATAACAGCACGCAAAGATTTTGCCTTGATTGTTTCAGAATTGATGATAGCATTATTGATTGTTTGTGCTATTTGACATTGAGAGGAGAGGTTGGAAGAGTAGATATTAAGAGGAGGGCAGCCCCAAGGAGTATTGATTGTTGGTGAATCATTAGAATTAGATTGTTGTTTAAAAATTTCAGATATTGTTGTTTTAACAATTTCAGTGATAGTGGGCTTTAATATTTCAGCAACGGCTTTTGCAATATCGATTAATTGTTGTTGATTTAAATTTGGAGTCATTTTATATTTTCCTTTAGTTGTCCCAAGTTGATTTGGAAGTGAAATAGAAGATTTGAATTTTATTTTGAAAATTACTTTCAATTTATCTCAAACTCAAACTTGGGTAATTAAAATAAAGTGCCTTAAATTTTGCTCAAACTTGGGTAATTAAACCAATAATAATTGAATTAATTCTGGATTGAATATGAAGTTTTCAAAGTAGCAATAGTTAAATGAACAATTAAATAATTTACTTGAATAACAATAAACAATTTTGATGTCCTCTTTATTTCTAATAATTGTTGGCAGTTGTAGTATAATAGGATGGGATTTGCCGACGCAAACTTAAAAATTTTGAATTAAAAGAAAATGGAAACGCTTTATTCCGAACAATTTATTTAACGAAAAATAAAAGATCTCGAAAGTCAGATATAATAAAAAATTAAATGTTATTTTTTAATTTTTGAATATTTTTTCAGATTTTTTAAATTAATTTTATGGGACGCATAAATCGTCACGGGACGCCTAAAATTTTTTTGGGACGCATAAATTGTCATGGGACGCTTAAACTGGACAAGAGCCAATTTTGATTCATAAAAATAGATAAACTATTTAATTATTTAAAGAAATTTACGAAATTTATGAGAAAAAATATTTCAGGCAATTATTATCAAAATCGATGAAAAACTTTTTAAAAAATATTTTATTGTCCAATAAATTAAATTTTTGTTTTCGTCCCGTCAAATTTTAGTCATTCATTTTAATTATATCGTATGCCCATCTATGAAGCCAGTTCTAATTTGGCGTGGGGAGTTGACATCCCGATAGACAACAAGCAGCAGCTGAGAGATGCGGTGAGAAACAATGTGTATGCGGGCCAGAACTTGTTAGGCCGTCTGTTAGAAAGAGTTCGTCAACAGATAAGAGGTACTTCTAGTTTAAACGAAAATATGGAAAATAATACTGGGGTTAGTCCTATGGAAGAGCCAAATAAAAAAGAGAACGGGTCGGAATTGAAAATATGTAGGGAAATTATCAAACAGGGACCATCCGTAGAATGCAAAACAGAAAAAAATGAAAATAGAAACTTACGTTAAATGTCCGTTAGAGGGCTTAGAGAGTGAATTAAGCGATGTTGCGAAAAGATTGGCACCGTGGGAAATTTAAAAGGACATATTTTGATTATTTCGACATATTTTGATTATTTCGATTAGAGAAGCAGTCGCGTGAGAGGTTGTTACGACCCCGGTTACGTAGAGGAAGCTAACAGAAACGTCCTTCATTTTTGATTTGATCATCTTTGAGCTGTCCACACTGCTGGCACTTGAAAAAGTTACACTACTTTCACTCGACACTTTTTCTTCACTAATATTCATATTCCGAATATCTTCATTCAACAACTTCTTTTTATTACTCCACTCATCTCGACGGATCTCTTTAAATGTCCTGGTCACAATACACTTCAACACTGCCACTTTGATTTTCCAGGCATTTTCCGTCTTTCTCACTATTTCTCCATGAAGCCACTCGATTTTACCACTTCTTTTATTGGTATTCTTCACTTTCACTTTTGTGCCGTTCGGAAAAGCATTTTTCTGTATCTTGAATGGTGCCTTCTTTTTACTCCACTTTTGGTACTTGGGCTTTTGGTTCCGACTTGACACTTCTTTCAATCCAGGCAACCCTAAGATACACACTTCACTATTCACTAGATGAAACTCCATGAAGACGTCTTTGTCTTTCACTCTCACTTTGCTTCTGAATTTTCCTTCAATTTCAACTTTGTTGTCACCCAGCCCAACACCACTGTAATTCACTTTTTCAATTTTTGGCTGTCCAATACTTTTCCACACTTCACTGGTGACAACATTGATCTGCGATGCAGTGTCTACAATCATTTCTACACTAAGTTCTCCAAACTTCACTTTTTGCTTTATCCACTCTTCTTTTTCCACACTTTGCATTGGATCGAAGATGTCCAGAATTGCACAATATGGAGAACCTGAATGATTATTATCATTACTCCACTGCCTTTTTGGCTGATACTGATTATTCTTCAAGAACTTACAATGTATACGCCAGTGACCAAAACGTCCACAATGACTGCACTTTTTTTCAATAACATTTTGTTGATACTTGACGTTTGGTTTGGACCACTGTTTTTTGTACTCACTTCCAATTTCACTTTCACTCTTTTCACAACATTTCACTTTTTCCACTGTGTTGACTGTCGGCACTTCTTTTTTTACTTCACTAATTTTCTCCTTGACAATATACATGGCTTCACTTTTATTTGCCAAATATGCCCGACACTCTTCAATAATTTCTTTCAAGGTTACTGCCTGTCCTCTTTCACTTTTACTTTCAACACTTTTCATTGCGACTTGTCGAACTGAGGTAGCATCACTAGGCAAACCTGAAATAAAAATAAGAATTTTCAATTCTTCAATCGACAAGGCCATTTCTGCACGCTCACATTGAGCATTCACTACATTCCCAAACTCAACAATATCTTGAAGGTCACTACACTTAACATTTAAGGCCTCGAACCTTTTCAACAATTTGGACCTATGGTCGCTAAACTCTTTCACTAACTCACTACACAGTTCGTCAAACTTCATCTCACTCAACTTGGTTGGTAGCATCTTCCTTTCAATTTGGGCATACTCTTCTGGCCCCAATTTACTCAACAACAATCTCACTTTAGAGGATTCTGGCAGGGTTTTACCCTCCACCTCAAAATAGGACCGATGCCTGTCCAACCATGACTCAAAGGTCATACCACTCGACAAATCAAAAACGAACACCAATCATCCCAACCAATTTGCTGTACAATTCGGTGTCGTTCCACTCACTCGGCTTCAAGAGTCTCACTAACATTTTCTCAAAATGCTCTTGCTGAGTCTTCAACAATTTCTCCACTGTTTTTGCATCCATTTTGCACTCACTAAAAAATAAACTTTATCACTACACTTTTCACTAAACACTACAATTTCACTAACCTTTTCGGTTTTACAACACTGCACTTGTCCACACTTTTTCTTTTCCTGAACTGCACACAGCTTACGTTGACGACACACAGCTTACTGAAGTTGACGAACTGACGACTGGTTCTTTTGAACTCGACCGCGCCAAATCTGTTACGACCCCGGTTACGTAGAGGAAGCTAACAGAAACGTTTATTGCACAAAGAAATACAAAGCAGGCGAAGGTTGGGGTAGGAAGAAGAACTAAAACTGAGACAACGAACTAACTATTGGCTGGGCTTTTATACTAAACACTTTAAGGGCTGACGCCCATACACAACAGAGGTGTCCTGGCTTTCCACAGTTAAAGCAGGTAATTTCATTTCTAGGGGTAAAGTTATTGTTTCGTTGTGAGAATTGCTGGACAGGTGGTTTAGACTGGAAATTAATATGACGAGTTGCTTTCTATGTCGATTCCGCTCTAGCTGCCAGGGACACAAAACTCATTCCGTCTTGTCGAGCTATTTCAAGATTAAGTGCAAGGTTTGAGTCACCAATACTTCTTATCAAATGCTTTATTGAATATTCATCCAACAAATTATTTGTCATCCCTGGGTAAGCTCGTTTGACTAAAGATGCAATTCTGTTGGCGAGTGAATCAATATTCTCATTTTCTCGCCTCTTAACACCAGACATAAGTTCGTCGAAAGCACAAATTTCTTTTGGTCTGTCGTTTCAAGAATACGAAACATTTCGCGTCGAACTGATAAATAAATAAAAGGGGAATTTCCTAAAGCAGTATTGAAAGCTCTTTCCGCTCTTCCACTTATTTTAGACTCCAAAGCTTTTAATCGCACGACATCTGATATCCCTTCAGTAGCAGAATCAAATTTTTTGAAGAATGTCTTAATTTGATCGACACCTTCAGGACCTTTCAAGTCTGGAATTTTGTCTAATGCCCACGAAAGAGACATTCTATCAAAGCTGTGCATGAACCCAGCAAAATCAGTTGTGGGTCTTTGGTTAGTTTCACTAATGATTGGTGGCTGCGCCACTTGTGTAACTGGCTGTTGGCAATTCTGTTGGGGCTGAGCTTAGTGAACAGAGTTCATTTGAGGTGGAAAATTTTGCGAGTTATTCGTTGGAATTTGCGAATACTGCATGAACTGTTGGGGATACATGGGCATTAACATAGGAATTTGACAATTTGGAAATTGTGTATACGTTTGCTGATTTGGGAACTGCTGTGTCATAACAGGCATGTTCGGAATTTGGTAAGGAAACCAAGCGTTTTGTGCCGTGTGTGGCACATTGTTTTGTGCTGGAGAAGTTTAAGTTTTGTTCGTTCTCATAATATTTTCTTCCCCTTCACTTTCCACATCCAGAATATCGTCCCTTCCTGAATTTTCAATATTGGAAGTTTGATTTTCAGAAGCTTCTTTCTCCATAGTTTTGACTTTTGCCCTATTTCTTGTTAAAACAGGAGAACGGGTTATCATTCAATTTCTTTATAGATTATAATTTTGTTTATGCTCGCCTAGAGCCTTTGATGAGTCACAAAACGAAAAAAATCAAATCAAACAGTTTTCAAAATTGTGCCCGCCTAGGGTCTTTCTGTTGAGTCAATTTGTTTGCAGCAATTGAATCGATTGCCTGCCAAGGTCAAACAGAGTTTTAAAAATTTCTCTTCCTTGTTTGTTTCTTTTTACACCCACCTAGGGTCTTTTGCAGATTTTGAGAAAAAAGTCGATTTTTCACCCGCCTAGGGTTTTTGTTGAAAAAATAAATTAAAGTTTTTCACAAAACTTTCTAAAATTAAAAAATTTTTGAGTCGAAGCTCGCCTAGAGCTGTATATGCTCGCCTAGAGCTTTTAAATTCAATAAAAATAAAAAATTTGTTGTTGCACGCCTAGATCCTTCAAATTAAAAAAATTCAAAATCGATCTCAAGACCATTGAAAAATTTAGGAAAATTTTTCTTCCACAGGAGCGCCACGTTGGGAAATTTAAAAGGTTCTTCTTAAATTAACTTCTTTTTAATTACTCTTCTTTAAATCAATTCAAGTCCAAATACGAATAAATTCAATATTTATTTAATAAGAGGCAATACAATTTCCACAAATAAAT